CAAGACACTGTCTTGAAAAAAAAAAAAAAAGAATTACTGTGTATGTTGGGTTGAGAATAGACTATGGGGAGCAAGGACAGAAATTTTTTTTTTTAATGCTTTAAGAGATTGGAACTGACATAACAGATGATGATGGCTTGGGTTAGACAGATTGCAGTGGAGGTGGTCAGAAGTAGTCAGATTCTGAATGTATTCTGAAGAGGACACCCAATAGTTTGCTGATGGATCCAGCATGAAGTGTGGGAGAAAGAGGGTCAATGATGATTCCATGGTTTTTACTCTGAACAATGGAAAAATGGAGCTTTCATTTACTAAGATGGAAAAGAATGGGAGGTGCAGATTTTGAGATAAATATCAAGAGTTGGGTTTTAGATATCTTAAGTTTCAGGTGCCTTATTAAAACTTTCCAGAGATGCCAATTTCGTAATTGGACATACTAGTCCAGAGTTTAGGGAAGAAGGTATAGGTATGGCTGGAAATATAAATTTAGAGATTATAAGTGTATGAAGTGGCAGTACAACTGTGAGACTGGATGAAATCTCACTGAAGGAGTGAATATAGATAGAAAAGAGATCTGAGGACTGGTCCTGAGCCCTCCAACAATTAGAAATATATAAAGAGAAACCATCATGGGGAGTGAGAAAACAGCATCTAGTAAGATACAGAGGAAAAAGCCAAGAGGAAGTGATATCCTGGAAGCCAAGTGAAGAATGTGTTTCAAGAAAGAGGGAGTGATCAGTGCTAGGTCAAATGCTGCTTCTGATAGGGAGGGAGGGAGCCTGGGACTGAGAAGTGATTATGGTATTTGCCAATGAAGGAGACATTAGTGAACAGTTTCAGGAGATGCATGAGAATGAAAGCCTCACTGAGGTGAAGTTAAGAAAAAATTGGGCCAGGTGTGGTGGCTCATGCCTATAATCCCAACACTTTGGGAGGCTGAGGCGGGTGGATCATGAGGTCAGGAGTTCGAGACCAGCCTGGCCAACATAGTGAAACCCTGTCTCTACTAAAAATACAAAAATGTGCCGGGCATGGTGGCACAAGCCTGTGGTCCCAGCTACTTGGGAGGCTGAGGCAGGAGAATCGCTTGAACCCATGAGGCGGAGGTTGCAGTGAGCTAAG